CAATATAGCGGGTGGGGCATAGTAAACGGGTCAAACTATTTTCCTATTGTTGAGGTACTTCCCTTTAATGTGGAGACTTGGGTCAGAGCTCATTCCATAGAGAATTGAAAGCTCTACAAAACTGCCCATTTCAGTTTTTCAAATACATTTTTTTCCAATAACAAAATTTAAAAGATTAACACGTGCTCAATCTTCAAACTGCGATCTGACGTTTTTCTGGATATCTGTTCGATTTGTACTCCATTTTTTCAGATGAAGTTTGCCAGTAAACATAAAGTATTTCGCATTAATCGAAAGGCAATTTTGTTCTCTATATTTCTACACTCTTTTCAAAATTTTTGCTTTTATGGTTTGACAGAAATAGGCCAGGAACTGAGAGGTGGTGGTCTTTCCGTCACGTTTTCGGGAAAATGGATTTTTCAGAACCAGGTTAGTGTGCAAAAGGTTTATTTTCACACACTTAAATGCAGAATTCAATGCTAAACATATTGGTGTGTCTTTCACTTTAAAAAGTGAAAACTATAATTTTTCATAAACTCGAAGACATAAGTTCAAAACGTTTGTCAGAAAAGTGATTATTTCTGTAGTTCCACATTTTTTAGTTCAAAAAATTTCCTGGCCCATCTGTCTTTTAACAAGCTACGAGCTACATATAAAGACGCAGAATTTCACGGCGAATCTAATGGTATGCTTAAATTTTCAAAAAAACTGTTTCTAAAAAATCTAAGATCATTTTATCAATTTCTGCCCGTTGCTATTTGAAATTGAGCATGTGCCGATCTTTTACATTTTTTACTAAGAAAAATCATGTATTTGAGAAACGAAAATGGGCAGTTTTGTAGAGCTTTCAATTGTCTATCGAATGAGCCCTGAGCCAAGTCTCCACATTAAAGGAAAGTATCTCAAAAGTAGGAAAACATTTTGAGTCGTTTATTGGTCCACGCATTAGTATGCTAAATAATTTCTGTAGTTTGCGGGGAGAATGTTTTGACAGTAGCAAAATTATTTCTCAATACGAAGCTACGAAAGCAGAATATGTTTAAACTCTTTTCTATGCTATTTTTAAATCGTTAAGTGGTTATTTATAATGCACTACTCCGCAATGTACACCTTTTTACTAATCAACCCATAAAATTTTCCTCATTTTCTTGATTTCTCAATAGTCAGCATTTTATTGTATAGATGAAAATATGAACAAAAGGAACAAAAGCATTCCATCTTAAAACTAACCTTATGTTTTTGACACTCATGTTTTCTTAATGCTCGTGTCGATTGATACTTATCAATGCAACCGAGAAAATCACATTAGTAATCCTTTTTATCTGGATGTTTATGTTTACAATGAAAGATTAATTTGTTCTTAGTCCTCCAATTCTCGGAGCAAATGAACGCTGTATTTTTTCTGAAGTATTGAAAAGAAGCAAAGAAATAAACAAAGGGTGCAGACTGACTATTAATCAACCGTGAATACACTATCCATTCCAAAAGAAGAAGGGGAGAAGATGTAAAGGATAGAGAGATAGAGCGCATGGATTCATATGGAAGTCTTACTTTGGTCAAACCACGGTATCATCAAAAAAATCTATCACCAACTCAGCGACCATTTTGTTTTCGACATGATGCAAATCTCATAGTCTCCAGAGATATATTTTTAAACTCCAACTTGGGATAAAAATCGAATTTTGTCAGCTTGTTAAAAATTAGACTTTACTTCGAGTATTTTGGCCTTAGTAATCAGGACTTTTTGAACATATTTCGGGTGGCGCTACCATTAACACCGTTTTTAGAAAAGAAAAAAGACTTCGCGTTGCTTAGTGCTTTTGCTTGGAAATTCGAATTTTTACATTATTTGATGTACTTTTGCTGATTGTCAATTTGATTTTTGACGCTAATTGCTTAAACTTTTGGCTTAAACTTAACGACTTAAACTTAACAGAGCATATTACGTCAATTTATAATTACCTTTTCATATACCAGATAGACGAATCCTGCTCCAAATGATCTTACAAGATTCGGTCCCATCTCCTAAGGTCATGTTACAAAATTTCACAAGATTGCTCAACATTTTATATGAGTCAGCCTTCCTGATTCAGCATAAGGTTTCATAAGATCTTTTTTATGATCAGCGCTTATAAGATCTTACACAATCCTATGGTAAGAACTTGTATAAACAGGAAATTCGCCAAATTTATAAGATCTACAAGGAATTGAATCTAAATATTTAAGCTTAAATGTCCATTTTTTATTATAAAACTCATTCTATTTCCTTCTGTTCTTTCCTTTTTGATATTTCCTAGCATAAACAGGATAGAATATTGACGTTCTAGGATCGTATTTAGCCACGTTCCTAAGCCATACACTTCATTCTGTGCTCAGTTGATCACGCGGATGAAGTTGAAAAGAGGATATAGTCAATAGAAAAAAGTTTTATCCTATAAATCAATAGTGTATATATACCAGAGATTCGCACGGGCCGAAAATTTTTGGTTCGGCCTGACGATGAAAGTTTCCAGACCAAGCCCGACCCGGCCCGACCAATCCTGAAACTTTTCTAGCCCGGCCTAGCCCGATCACTTTTTAGAATTTTCTGGTCCCAGGCATTATTTTTTTCCTGCATCTGTAATGCTTTTGCTGGCTAAGTGGTGTAAATGTATTTGTTAAGCTAATATTTATATTTTTATGATTTCTTGGTTTTCATTTTTTCAACTTTTAAAGGCATTAGCTAAACGAAGTCATTAAGATATCGCGTAACAGTGTAATACTCTTTCTCGGTACTGAGTATACACATAAATTACAAATCCAAGCATGCTTAAAAATTCTGAGTTCGGTCCGGCCCGACGCGACGAATATATTTTGGCCGGCCCGTACTGATCTCTGATGTATACTATATATATCGTAGTAAAATTTCTGAGTCAACAATCTTGTAAAATTTTGTTAGATCGTATTATGACAAGAAAATAATTATAGCTCAGCAATCTGTATCACAAGATTTCATGTAAGATCGTGTTACTTGTAGGCTGATCTTGCAATTTCTTACTACATATATGATGTTCTTATGGCACGATTTTATAAAACCACTTCATAGGATCGTACTATGACATTTTATGTAACACCAGATCTTGTAAGACTTTGAATGACGTGTTTCACCTGGTATTTGGTCGTATAAAGTGTAATGGTATAAAGTGTTAAGCATTTTTTTAAGGTGTTTAGTTTGAATTTTCGAATTGGTCTTTTGTGGATATTGTGACAATTTCAATAGATACTTGTCTCTCTGTAGGTCAGGATAAGCTAAAATGAAAATGACACCCACACAGTGGCGGCGTGATCGGGTGGGATGAGGTCTTGTCTCTGTATTTGTTTTATGGTTAATATAAGATTCCATTATGTTTCTTCCATTGAGCGCCAGTATCAACGTAAATCACACTGATATTAGCCCAGGTCGACTGCCATCGCTATGATCTCTTGTAATAACTCTTTCAGTCGCTATGCGGTCATCCGAGAAGTCGCTATTCTTGTAGCGATTATGCGCGAAAGTGAAAAAAAATTCGCGATCAAATTTAAAAATCTTTTTAAGATTTTATCGCCATCGCTCAGCGACAGCAAGAGCCAATAGCGATCGCGCTGCGAATGAAGCCGACAGTGGACCTGGAAGCGTTCAATAGAAGAAAGTCTAATGAAGCTTATCTTTATCGCGTTCTATAAAACACCGTTCGTTCTCACTATTTCCTTTTGTTTGTAATTTCCTCAATAGAAAAGTAAGATCCAACATGTATCCGCGGACCCTTCTTGACAGCTGAAAGAAGTCAACAGTTGACGTGTATTATATGAAGTTTTTTTTTATATGCTCTATACTAAATAGTTTCTAAGGCGCCATATCGATTGAGACCAATTTTAAATTGTATATTCTTGAAGGAGAACTATTTTATAATCAATCTCAAAGGAGAACAGATTCAACTCATGCACTCTTGAATGAGAACAGTTTATAAACTTATTCTTAAAGGAGAACATTTTCAAATTGTGGACTCTCGAAGAAGAACAATTAGATATACGTGATTATTGTTTTTATTATTGTTCAAAAAAAGGAGATGTATTAAAGGCAAGAAAGATTAATGCAGGTATAGAAAAAGTAATTCAAACTAAATATTCAAGCGTCAGTGTCCAAAAGTTCGGCTTTTAAAAGACCATCTAATAAACTGTACAGTATTCTATAACGACTAAATCAATACAGTTGATATTTAGTTACAACAACAAGAGCAATACTAAATTGACAACTTGTACAGTAGCAAATGGTAATGAAATTTTTTGTTTCTCAATAACGGTAATGCTTTGCTAGATTGAACGTTCACCATGTTGGTCGTCTTGGTATTCTTCTGAGCTGATCTACAGTCTCTTCAATTTTCAAATCATACTTTCAGCTAATAATTAACAAGGACACCACCGCTACGTTATTCTTTTACTAGTTCTGCGCTCTAAGAAACTTCTTAATTAGCTTATACTGTAATCTATTATCTTCAAATTTACAAGTGTTCTCCTTTGAAAATATATACGAAAAAATGTTCTCCTTCAAGAGTTAATAGTTTAAAAATGTTCTACTTTGAGATTATGCATAAACAATTGTTCTCCTTCAGCAGCGCAGCATTTAAAACTTCTCAGTTGGAGAAATAATTAAGAAACTTGTTCTCATTAGAGAAGCCATCATTTCTAATTCTAGAATCAATAAGATATTTACTTATGATCCTTTTGCCCTGGCTCGAATTTCTCCCGTTTCGGACGAAGCCTAGTATGGATCTGTAGGGAGCTGACGCTTAGTCTATAGATAATCTGTTTAGACAAATATATCATTATTATAGATGAAGAAGGTTCAGAAACGAAAATAAAAAATTGCTGCATTAAATGTATAAAGTTATACTAACTCTACCATAGTCATTTTTTCTGCAAACTACAAAAAAAGTGTAATGTTTAAACCATAAACAAAAAACAATCAATTTTATAATGAGATTTTAATATCTATAGGCTGTTGAATATCTATTATAAGCTGAATATCGTGGTATATCATTATTGTAAGTGGAATAATCTCCATCTAAATCATATTTTGAATTGTTAATTGACGATGACTCATAGGATTGTGGAAGCATTGATCTTGCTCGAGACTGTGTCGGTGGTACACGTAATGATTCGTACAAACGCGATCGATGGTTGGCGTTTGTTGTTGAGTAGGGTACTATAAATAGATAAAAGAATTTTAAAAAACATAAATTATTTGTCATATTTGTACATACTTGACGACGATGTTGTTATTCTCGTTTTAATTATATCATTTTCAATGCTACGTAGTCGATTTTTTGTTTCATCTAATTCTGTTCGTAATTTTGAACATAGTGACAGTGCAGCATCGGTTATTAATTTTTGTGGTATCATTTCATTATTTTTACAATGATTTATTGTTTCTTCAGTTATTTTTGAAAAATCAATTTGTGATAATAATTCTTGACGTTCTGATGCATTCAAATTAATTTTTTCTAAAAATAGTAAAAATAAGTTAAACATTAGTCATATAGCTGTATCGAATGAACTACTTACCATTTTTTAATATATTATCAAGTGCTAATAGTAAACTATCGTGTGAATCACGTTGTTCTTTTGGCACACAAGATGCTAATTTAACAAATTTTTCACTTGTCAAAGTTCCTCGACTACGTAAGTTTTCTACATAAGAATCGACTAACGTAGAAAGCTAAAATATATGCAACTATGAAAGAACTAATTTAATTTAAAACTGTATTAAATACAAACTTTATGTAACATAATTGGATCTTTTACTTGATCTTTATGTTTACCAACTTCTTCTAGTACACATGTCATTGTTTCTTCTGGTATATTATTAATATCTTCATCAGCTGTACATAAAAGAGCACATATAATCCATTTTGATAATGTTTGTTCACATTCACAATTAAATTCTTGTGCATGTTGATGACAAGTAATTAGCCAAGATAATGGAACATATTCGTAGAACGCCGTTTGGTCTAATAATTTAATAACATGATCAAGAATTTTTCGTTTATCATCATCACTGTGAACAACACTTATTTTTTTTTCATGTTGAGTTGCTGTTACTCCATTAGCAGTCGTAGGATCTTGTTTTTTCACTGGTGTAAAGGCACCCGATGTATTATCTCGAAATGATTTTGGTGAACTATTCGTATGTGAATGATTCAATTGATCATCATTGTCGTGTTCAATTATGATTGTGGACGTTAAGTAATGTTTAATTATGGCCACAATACCCACAATCGATAATTTAGAATCGGAACTTAGTTTAATAAATTCTTCCAACCAAGCTAATGGTAATCGTCCAATTATTTCTCTATCCGATTTTGTTAATAGTTGATCAATTTTCAATAAACTATGATATCCTAATTTGTTAGCACCACCAGCTCCACCATTCGTTCCAGCTATTCTCAATAGTGAATCAATTATTGATTCTAAACATTTGTCAACAATGTGTGCTTGTTTTGCCCACGGAATATATTCAATACATTGTTCTAATAATACAAGAGGGATGCTCAAATCATGTTTTGATCGAGCAACAAGTAAAATATCATCGATGCGGTTATCTAACATCGTCGCCAATGTGGAACAATCAACAAAACAGGCAGCTGATCGTAAAACAATGATATTGGAATGATCAATCGGTATGGGAATATTATAGAAAAAGTCCGCCATTTGACTAAATACATTTTTACCTCCAGGAAATTTGTCAAGTCTAACGGTTAGATAATGATTTGAATCTGACTCCCGTTGCTGTTTAGATGATGACTCCACCGTCTTTTTAAAAAAATCACTTTTTGTAAATAATGGAAATGTGTGAAGTTTAAATTCAGTATCATCAACCAAAACAGTTATGTCGGATAATTCACCAGTGCGACGAAAATTCTCAAAATTCATCCCCTTAATAGACAGAAAAAATGATACGATATCACAAGGAGATTTTGTGTTTTTCACACTGTGCTCAAGCATTAAGTGGTGTTCTAAGTTCTCAAACACAAAAAAAACTCTCTTGGAGAAATAAAACTTAAATTAGATTATAACCTATTAGAAAAAGTTGACATTTACCACACGCTGGGAACTGCCTCGATGGTAACTTCGTCGCTTTTCCACTATGTCCGCCCACTGATTGCCTGTGGCGAAGCATCGTCTTGGATTCAGAATTGTAAGCCAGCGTCTTTAAGTGCCATCAAGAGACTGAACATAACCCAACTGAGAATCCGTTTGCGATATACAATAGAATATTATCTTCAGAGGTGCAGAATCTGAGCGAGCGTTCATTAGTAGAAAAAA